TGTGTGTAAAAGCGTCTGGGTGTAAAAGCTTCTGTGTGTAAAGGCTCCTGTGTGTAAAAGGGTCTGCGTGTAAAAGTCTCTGTGTGTAAAGGTTTCTGTGTGTAAAAGCGTCTGTGTGTAAAAGCGTCTGTGTGTAAAAGCGTCTGTGTGTAAAAGCGTCTGTGTGTAAAAGCGTCTGTGTGTAAAAGCCTCTGTGTGTAAAAGTTTTTGTGTGTCAAAGCGTCTGTGTGTAAAAGCGTCTGTGTGTAAAAGTGTCTGTGTGTAAAAGCGTCTGTGTGTAAAAGCGTCTGTGTGTAAAAGCGTCTGTGTGTAAAAGCTTCTGTGTGTAAAAGCTTCTGTGTGTAAAAGCGTCTGTGTGTAAAAGCGTCTGTGTGTAAAAGTGTTTGTGTAAAAGTGTTTGTGTGCAAAATCGTCTTTGTGTAAAAGCGTTTGTGTAAAAGTCTCTGTGTGTAAAAGTCTCCGTGTGTAAAAGTCTCTGTGTGCAAAAGCGTCTGTGTGTAAAAGCGTCTGTGTGTAAAAGGCTCTGTGTGTAAAAGCGTCTGTGTGTAAAAGTGTCTGTGTGTAAAAGAGCCTATGTGTAACAAGCGTCTGTGCGTAAAAGCGTCTGTGTGTAAAAGCGTCTGTGTGTAAAAGCTTCTGTGTGTAAAAGCGTCTGTGTGTAAAAGCGTCTGTGTGTGTAAAAGTCTCTGTGTGTAAAAGTGTTTGGGTGTAAAAGTCTCTGTATGCAAAATCGTCTGTGTGTAAAAGTCTCTGTGTGTAAAAGTCTCTCTGTGTGTAAAAGCGTCTGTGTGTAAAAGCGTCTGTGTGTAAAAGTCTCTGTGTGCAAAAGCGTCTGTCTGTAAAAAGTTCTGTGTATGAAAAACTTTACAAAAATACGATGCAAACTATTGTCTTGTACTAGTCATATATTGTCTTGATACTACTCTTCTCGTCTGCCTGTAATATTAAGACTTTCCAACTAGCAAGAATTAGAGGAGGTCAAAAATGTATTTAAAAGTGATTTAAAAGTGATTCTGGTATTTGCTGGAAAAGTGATTTAAAAGTGGGTTTGTAAGTGGGTTAATTTATGAAAGTGATTTAAAAGTGATTTGTCTTTTTGGGGGCTCTCGCTTTTCCAGCAAATACCAGAATCCAGTATATGCTTATGTCTACACATGTGCACAGTTTTGACCTCCTCAATTTGTTTAAGTTTGGGATGGGAGATTTGAAACAATTGCTGCTGAGGCATTTGTTTAGGCTGGCTGTGCGTAGAATCGGCTCAATCAGGAAAGCAAGAGGTGGACTGTTTGGGATTGTTTTTTCCGGTTTCACTGGATTTGTCACTCCAATTCGGAGTGCTCCATCCGATGGATCTAAGTGATCCGCATGATCTGGCAGATTTGGGTGGCATTGGGGAGTTAGTTTCTGAACTGGAGGCTCAATTGTCGCAGGAATCAGCAGAAGCAGAGGAAGCTGAAGCATGCAGGTCCCACAGTGACTCTGAAATAGATGAAGAACCCCTTGATCTTGAACCAAATCAGACTCCTTGGTGGGTTTCCAGCCTTCAAAGGCACACGCAACACTTGGGGCACCCTGAGTGTCAAACCAGAGGACCAGTCAAGGTCCTTTCTGCGTGCACTGGCGCGTGTGCTGAGGGACATGTTTTGCAGGTCACTTGCCTATGCCAAGATTCGATTTAGCGTCATTTTTCCCAACAACTTAACCAACCACAAACCATGTGGGTGCCCGAGTGTAGGTAGATTCTGCATAGAAGAGTAGTAAGTAAAGCAGTACAGTAGGAGTAGTAGGGTAGGGAAGGGGATAGACGAAGACAACATGTGGAGGTTGGCTAAAATGTTTGTTCATTACTTAGGACTAGCTTGTCAATCACTATAGGCCCTATAGCCAACAAAATTATGGTTCTGTTTTTTCGGCCACATTTTTTTTGGCAATGCCATGCAGGCTTTGCGGATTCCTTACTTGGTCATGAGCGCTTCAGATGGGAACATGAAATGCAAAGAGTTTGCCAGGGCAAATTTGGAGGTAGCTCCTACCCACTGGTTCCGGTCGATGAGGGACCAATTGAACAATGCGTGCTGCACACAGCATTCTCATTCAGTAAGATGCCAAGCAGCTCCCACACTGCCTGATTTGTCCATGATTGGCGCACCTTGCCATCCATACTCCACACAGAGAGCGGGTCGCTATGCATCTAAGTCAGTAGAATCACACCCGGAATACAGTGTGACATTCAAGGACACCTTGGACATGATCAGCATGCATACCCCCAAGCTAGTGGTCTCCGAGCAAGTTCAGGGTTTTGACAAGCCAATCGAAGCTGGGAGCGAACGTACTCCCTATGCGATGCGTCTTGGCACGTGAACAAGGGGAAGGGCAGGATGGGCAAAAAACATTCATATGCCACAAGTGGCACACATAAAATTTCAGATTCAAATATATCATGCCTTTTTCCCAGCGCCAATTGGCAGAGCTGAGTGTCAGAACTATGGTTGCGATATTCAATGATGATGAAGTAGTTTCATTGGTCACTACAGTGCTACAGTTACAGCTTACCGGTTACCGCAGAAAGCTAGCCCAAAAGTCCAGCAGTCCAACCAGGAAATTCAAAACCCAAAAGTCCCGAAAGTAACCAGCAACTAGTTGGAGAGTGAATTCATTACCGCTCCCGGCAACCCAAGGTTTGTTGATGCCTTGAATGCTCTTCAGATACCACACGGATACTATCTCGTAAAGCTGAACCCGGACGCTAAGATTTGGCTGAACATACGAAGACCCAGGCACGTTTCCTGGGGCTCTGGGTCTGTGGCGCCGTTGGGTACTCAATGTCTATTACTCTGATTTGCCATTGAATAGCTAATAACAATTGACTCGACTTACTGCGTATGACTTATTGCTGCAGACCTCATTTGGATCCGTTTAGATTTTTTGGACCAGGTTTAGCCTAACAAGAACCATTTTTTCTTTGGGAGGCATCATTGCATTTGCCACCTCCGCTCTAGCAGCTCATTGGCTGAAACACCATGCGCACGGTAGGCATTGACATAGAAGAGACGGTCACTAGACTTTGGGCTCTAGACTTTATAGACGCATTACTTGTCACAAACTGTGATTAGGACCGCAGCAGTCGCACATAACACGAGACCATAGTAATTTGACAGCAGCCACTGCAATTCACTGACCTCTCCCAAAAGGGAGAGGTCGAACAATGGATTTGGATGATCTTTTTGATGATGCTGGTTCTGCCGATTCTGATGGCATCGATGCATTAGTTGCAGAACTCGAGGAGAGTACCCAACATGCCAATTCTGAAAGCCGTCCTTTGAAACCCAAAAAAGTTGAGACTAGGGGGCGCAAACTGGGCACCAGCACCTTTAAGGATGTATCAGCTGCTTTGTTGGCATCGAAGAGTGATGCCGATTCGCAAATGCCTGACTTAGTTGACCCGAGCACACAGCCAGGGACAATCCAGTATGCCAGGGCTTGCCGTAGTCAGCAAAAACAATCTGCACTCTCTGCACTCGAGACTTCCGTGCTGCCCCCCCAGCCAGATGGTGGCACATCCGACAATGCTTTGCTAGTAGCTTTGACCAATTTCCTGGCCCGTCTGAATTGCTCCGAATTGACACATTTGCAGAAATGCATGCTGAATGCTTGTAGCTACAGTTTGCTGAACCAGAGCCAAGATGTTAGGTCAGAGAGTGCTATCATGTCAATGTTGCACACGCTGGTGTTGTCCAAGAGGGGCAGTCATGAGATTGCATCCACTAGCAGCGGTTTGAAGAAATACACCATCGAATGCATGCGCGTAGCTTGTGCAGCTTTGCACATGAATGGTCTTTTGTGGCACGCCATGCTCACTCATGCGACATCAGTGCATGAGGGACCCGAGAGTGGTGGACTCAAAGGGGTATTGTTCATCCGAAAGTTCAGATATGATGAAACGCCATTGAAAAACCGTGTGAAGACTTGGAACGCAACTTTGGCCCAGCACGAAATGGACATCTCTGATCACACCAAGCTCATGCAAGTGGAATTCAGCATTTGGGCCTTGTTTCAAAAGATTGAAACTGGTAAGTTTGTTGAGGTTGACAAATTCCAGCATCCCAACCTCTATTTGCACGTTGGCTACGTCAACTATTTGACTTGGAAAATGACTGTACTTCCGTTGTATGAAGTTGAAGACTTCATGCTTCAAAATCCAGTGCC